TGCTCGCGTCCCGGGCTCACCGTGAGCCTCTAGCTCCCCCCGCCGCCGCTTTTGGGCGCGCAGAATCCGGGCCGCGAAGTCCCCGGGTCACAACTGTGGCAAAATGGAAGGGCGGGTGGGGGGCCGGGATCGGGGTACGCAGACGTCCGCAGCAGCTAACTGGGCTTCTGGGCCTCTGCTCTGGGGAGCAGGCGCCGAGTGGGAGCGGCCACAGTGTGGCCCGTGCCCTCTCCGGATCCCCGGCACACCCTTGTATGCTCTGACTTTGTGCCTCTCTGTTCTGTGCAGGAAAAGCCGTGGAAATACACCCAGACCAAAATGCCCCTGGCCCGCGTGACCCTACCCCGGAGAAGCAGCTGAGTTACCCGACATGCTGGTCAGCAGGAGCTGGGTCTGTGGCTGGATGCAGCAGCTGCAGGGACTCAGCGCCTAGGAGGACTCCTGTGCAAGGAGAGAAGCAGAGATGCAACATTTTTAAAGTTTCACAAAGCATCCAGCTGCATCCAGGTTCCTGGAGCAGAAGACAAACAGAATTAATGTTTTATACCTTCGGGTATAGGTTTGAGTTTTTTCCCCCTCATGCCAAGTATTTAAAACCTCTAGAAACCCATGATTTGACAATCAATGATTGCGCGGTACTTTCAATTTGAATATTCAAAGGCTTAACAAAATGGACTATCTTCTGCAGAAATCCTGCACACAGGCACCCTACAGAGAGTTCAGAGAAACAGGGAATGAGACCCCTTTGGGTCCTGACCCTTGCTTTTACTCTATTTTGAGCATTTTGCCCACCTTCTCCCAGACAGAGCAGGAGTGCTCGAAGATGCTCTGTATTTCTGCCTCAAAGGCAGCTCCAGGAGCCCTGGGTGACTTAGGCTGTCCTTCATGTGCACCTGAGCCAGACTGGCCGGCCAGACGGATCCCCACATCCCAAATCTGTATTTTAAGGGGAAAATCTTACATTTTGGGGTATGAACATGACAGCCAGTAGGTGTGGCATAGCAAGGTGTCACTCTGGGCCCAGCTTGCAGGCCAGAGATCCAGCAGAGGCCTTCGCTCTGCTCCTTTTGACCCCACCTGGCCATGTGCAGGCTTTCCTGCCCTTTTGTCTGCTCTCTGTCTGGGCCCCAAACACTGGGGTTTCGGCCCAGAATGCCTGCCCGTTAAGATCCTTTGCTTCCCCTAACGTGCTGGGCTGCCCATGGCCTGGGAGCCTGGAGATTTTCTGAGGCTGGTGGTTTCTTCAGGGTGAAGTCCCCTCTTCTCCCCGTTTTCCTCCCTCTGGAGCATCCCTGCCGGTTTGCTGCAGGAGCTAGTCTTTAGGAATGACAATACGCTTGGCTCCTGCTCATGTTAGCTGAAAGGACATGATGTATTCAAGCTTCACGCTTTGGGGTGAGAGGTGGGAAGGAGGTGGTCCAGGCCCGAGCCCCTCACAAATGACCTGGGACTGTGTTGGGTCATCTTCTCCAAGCACTTCCGGTGCCTCTTCCGTGTGACTGGGAAGCTTGAAGGCAGCTGTGGTTCAGGGAGGGAGAGAGTGCCAGGCCCATCCCTCTCCTAGCCCCTGAGGGGAGGGGAGGCACTGGAAGACAGAAGCAGGGTGGGAGTCCCGTGAGGCCAGGCCAGGCGAGGGGCCTGGGTCTCGGCTGTGTCCCCCGAGTTCTCTGAAATGCCAAAGTGGCATTGAGCCCCAAAGGGCAAGAGAAAAACATCTGGATGCCCTCAAATGTGTCTATACTGGGTGGAGCATAAGGCAATGGGGGACCGGGGCACTCTGAGTGACAAGACACCGGAGTCTGTGATGGGTAGGCATTGCTTGGCAGCTCAAACCTTGTCTCTGGGGAGGGGGTCAGGACTGGGAACACCTGAGGTGGCACTGGGCACCGGAGGGCAGAACAGCTGGAATCTGTAACAGCTTCTGCAGCCTCTTTCTCCGCAGGCCCCCGCTGTGTCCCGAGTTTCCCTGCCTGGAGTCAGGCTGGAGACCAGACTCAGGAGCAGGGGAGAAGAATTGAGAGCCTCAGATCCTATCTCCAGCCGTGCCCTGCCCTGCCCTGCCCTGCCCTGCCCGGCACTGCTCCTTCTTCAGGAATGGCAAACAGCTGGGAATTCGGGACGGTTTCATCCTCATAGCTTTTCCATTATTTCTTTTGTCATCTACCTCTTTGTTTCACACTCATTTTTTGGTTTGCTTTTAAAAATCTTCCTCTTTGTCGTTTGGCCTGTTTGTTTATTTTCCCCCCTGAATATCTTTTTGTCTTTCTTCCTGTGGCTGCTTTCCTCCATTTCTTGCCTGCATTGACTGTTTTCCTCCCTGGCTCCCTGTGTGTGTCTGTTGTCCCCTATACTGAGGTGCTGTCTCACTTCTTTTTTTGTTTTGTTTGTTTGTTTATATATAATATATTTTTATTGATTTCAGAGAGGAAGGAAGAAGGTGAGAAAGATAGAAACATCAATGATGAGAGAGAATCATTGATTAGCTTCCTCTTGCAGGCCCCCCACTGGGGATGAAGCCCACAACCCGGGCATGTGCCCTGTCCAGGAATCGAACCTGGGGCCTCCTGATTCATAGATCGATGCTCAACCACTGAGCCATGCCGCCTGGGCTGCTGTCTCACTTCTATAGGCTCAGTCTCCTTCCTCCTTTCCTTCCACGTGGAGATGGACAGGGATGGCAGGAGGCCACAGGTTCCCTTGGCAACATCACTGAAGTTGATGTTCATGTTTGGTTGCCCTGCGGAGAAGGCAGGCAGCGCTGGTGAGAGATGAGCTCCTTGGAAGTCACCGAGTCTGTAGGGACAGTGATGAGCTCTGTCCTTTTGCCAGGAGGCTGCTGCCTGAGCTATGGCAGCGTTCTGGGGGCTTGAGGGCTGGCACCTGCTGCTGGGATAGAGGTTCCTGGGCTGTTGCTGCCTAGCAACTTTAGACAACTGGGTTTCCTCAGGCCTGGTCCCTATTTTGAGGAAAGAAGTCCGCATTTTTTAGCCCAATATTAAAGGATTTTAGTTTCTGCTGTTTCTATAATGGCAGACCCCAACCCACACATTCAACAGCCAAACACCAGGCTTGTGGGCATAAGGGAAAATCCTTTCTAGACATGTCCCGCGACTCTCTTCTAGACCTGCCGTGCCACGAAGCCAGGAGCCACCAGGTCTGCCTTGAGACCCCAGAGAGTTGGATGTTCCTCACAGGAGACCTTTTTAAAAATTGTCATCTATTGCGTGTTGATTGGATGCCAGACACTGTCTTGTATAGTCTCACCATCTCACAAATGAGGGAACAAGCACAGACGGGCAAGCAACATGCCCACGGTTATTGCGCATAGACACGGCAGGATTGGGACTCAAACTGGGATATGTTTGAGGCTGAAGCCCTTCTACCCGATCTTTTACAGCACAGGCTTTCAAACCTTCAACATCAGCTCACAATGAGAAATCCATTTTGCTTGTTCATTTACTATATCTAACAATACCTCCATATTTATAAAACAAACCTTTCATGAAACAGTGTACACCTATGTACACAAGACACTGAACATTTCTATTCCATCCCACCTTTTCCATTTCATTCTATTTATGAAAAGCCTATGTTGGTTGGGAGTCACTAAGATAGTTTAATGGCCCACTAATTCGTAGGGACGAACGTTGGAAAGATACTGCCTACAGGACATGCAAACACATGTGTGTGTGTGTATGCATGTGGAAGTGTTGTGGTGTGCTGTGTGTTTCACTGACGGGTGTGTGAGGAGACTAAGGCAGTGCAGCAGACTGACTAGAGCAGCAGTTGCCAACCTTTTGGATCTCACGGACCACCGGTTGGCGACCGCTGGACTAGAGAGTATTCTGTAAACACAGGACTCCAGAACCCTAAGAAGAGACTGGCTAGAAGGGAGGGTGAGCTGTTAATTATGCCAATTGCAGTTTGTGCTTCTCAGACTGGGAACTCTTCCCTCTCCCTGGGGCACGGTCACCTCTGGGGTGTCCTGATAATAATTTTAGGGTCTTAATACAAGGCTGAAAAATAGTGTGGAGTTTCAACAGGCTTTAACAGGTTCACTTGCTTAAATATATAGCACAGGGTCCTGATGTTTAGATGTTGGAAGGGATCTTTTTGGTACAGAGGGACTAAGTCTTTTGCCAGCGTCCCTGCTGGTGGTCATCCAGCCCCAGGCTCCCTCCATTGCTTGCTGGGCTGCTGGTCCCCGATAGACGAGTGGTGAGGAAATGGAGGCTCGGTATTTATCAGGCAACCTGTCCTACTATTAGATTGCTTTAAATATAATGATCATTGATCTAGTCAACAATCAATTAGGTATTAACTGAGCACCAACTATGTACCAGGCATGGTATCGAGTACCAGGAAAGCAAAGATAAGTAAGTCCTGCTTTCTGTCATCAACTGCTCTGTGAGTAACATGGGATAACTCTTTCCCACTTCCACACTCCTGCTTCTCCACCAGGGCTTTGTTTGGTCATTCATTGCTTCATTCATTCATTCATTCATTCATGCATTCAACAAGCATATACTGATTATCTGCTCTGACCAGTGCTAAATTTGAAGAAGTTATCATGGCCACTCCACACCCAAGGCTTTTTTGTTCATTCAACAAGCATATACTGATTATCTGCTCTGACCAGGCCCAGTGCTAAATTTGAAGAAGTTATCATGCCCACTCCCCACCCAAGGCTTTTTTTGTTTGTTTTTGAGGCTCCCCATCTGTAGTTTCTCTAGTTCTTCATATATAATTTCCAGATCTCTGGGTCACTGAGCTCAGAAACCCTTTTGCTTGTCATTGACCTTCTTAAAGTCACTCAGCATGCAGAATAATGGGAATAGAATACATTTCTCTTTAAAGTTTCAAATTAACTGTTTTAACGGTATTTTAGCAGTCTTTTATATGCACACGACATTGCAGAGCATTATATTTTCCCCACAAAGTAGGAGATTGAACTCAGACATGAATATGAAAAGACTTTCAGTACAAGGAAAAGGGGTTTTATTCCCTCCAAATTTGACTACAGCTCTAACCTCTATCAATGCAAAGTTCTTTTTTCATTTTGACTTTGGGACACTGTTACCAAACCTTGTGGGAAATATCAAGTTCCAAAAAGATGGAGGAAGTGAATAGTTACTGGGCCCAGAGTGAATGTTTGGTCCATATGAAAATAACCAGGAAGACGATTAGATAGGTGTTATTTAATGACTTGTGGCAAGTCCGTCTCTTCCCATAAAGCATATTCAAAGTTTTAACTTTTCTTTCCATGGGCCATGAGCATTTAATAATTTATTATTTAAATAAGAAAAATGCCATCAGGCACTGCTTGAAAAGTTCATCTTTTACTTAAACATTTTTGTTATGTAATGTATGTCATACAAAAACATATCTAAAGATTACCACGCTAAAGGCCTACCAAGGTTAAGAAATAACATAGTTGAGGAACATTTTATTTATGACCAAATTAATTTATTAAGCATTAAACTTTTATATTATTCCACTCAAGATATCTGGTTAGGGAGAAGATTAGTATGGACATCTATCAATTTTCCTAATGCAAAAGAGCTAATTCTTAGGTATTATTTGTTTTGTCCACATTTTTTCCCTTTTGGAACTTGTAAAATTTTTTAGTTCTCTCCTCTTGGCTTGCAATGTACTGACAATGATATTGCATATTCCAAACCCAGACATCTTATTATAGTTATGATTAGAGGACACTTCTATATCAAATATCAAAGATACCATGGTATCATAATTTACAGATAATTATAGAAGATTTTCTCACTATTTAGTCTGATTTGGGGGTATTCAAGTTCCTGACCTATTTTTCATATTTGTTTTAATCACATGGTAGATAATACCAAACATTGAATAACTTTTATTTATAAGACTTCTTAACATTATAATACATGTAGATACAGAATGAATATATGAAAATTTTTCTGTACTACTTCAAATCGTCAGTAATTTTTCTTCTTAGAGGCATTTAAATATACTAGATTAATTATTTAAAAATGTATTATCATTCAATCTAATGTCCCTACTCTCAGCATTTGCAGAGAATATTGTTAATGTGAAATGCTAAATGTGGTGAAGAGGAGTGGTCACCCACAGAATGAGGGACTAGATATTCACCTTTGTAGTATGATTTTAGTCCAATGCAACAACGATTTCTTGAGCAGCTACAACATGCTGGGCACTAAGCCAGGTGCTGAGAGCCACTCATGAGTCCTCTCCTTGGCGAGTCTAGCGAGAGAATCACTGTTTAGCTAGAGTGGAAGATTTTGCATGTAAACTCTCTAGATTCAATAGTTATTGATTATGGTATATAGAGGGACAGTGTCCTGTTGCTCTGATTAGAGAGGAGACTTGATACTGAACCCAATAATAGAACTTAAAGAAAGAATGTGGCGTGTGGTTGGTAGAATCACTAATGTAAAGTAAATTAAACCTAGGACATCAATCATTATTTCAATTATATTTTTAATTTAAGTTTTATTAAAGCATAGTTGGCATACATATTATATTAGTGTCAGGTGTACAACATAGTGATTCAACATTTATATACTTTATGATATGATCACCCCAATAAGTCTAGTAACCACCTGTCACCGTGCAAAGTTATTAAAATATTACTGATTATTTTCCCTAGGCTGTACATTATACCCCCTGTGGCTTATTTATTTTATAGCTGGAAGTTTGTATCTCCTAGTCTCCTTCCCCTTTTTCTTCCATTCTTCCTCACCCCACCCTCAGGCGACCATCAGTTTATTCCCTGTATCTATGAATATGTTTCTGTTTTATTTTAGTTCTTCAAATATATAACTAATGTTTTACTCCTTATGAATGTATTACTTAGATTTACATATTGAATAGTTGGTCACAAAGCTACTAGTAATCTTTTATATGTACTATGTATGTATGTAAGTAAATGCATCTTTTACTGTTGGGGTAACTCTTTTCTCTTTGTGGAATTTCTTATAGTATACTTCTAGTACTTCAGTACTAGAGTAGCATCATATTGTGTTATTAAATGAACTGTAGCAAGTCATAATGCTCATTTAGCATTTATTAAATAAATAAGGTAAAAATGTGGTTTTCTCTCATTTTTAGGGTTTATATAACATTATAAGAGACACACAAATACATTCAACTACTACTATGATTAATGTCTGTTTTCAGTGATTTATTTTGTCTATATTGCAAATTTTGCAGAGGCACATTTTGCATTCAACTTCTTTTTTTATCTTATTATCTAGTGAGCTTTCTTTTTTTATTGTATTTATTTATTTTTATTTCATTTATTTCTTTGTTAATCCTCACCAGAGGATATTTTCCCATTGCTTTTCAGAGAGAGTGGAAGGGAGAGAGGGAGGGGAGAAAACAGGGTGTGGGGGAAGGAAGATAGAAGGGAGAGAGGGAGAGAGAGAGAGAGAGAGACAGACAGACAACAATGTGAGAGAGACACATCAACTGGTTGCCTCCTAAATGTGCCCTGACCAGGGGTGGAGAGTGAACCCTGCATCCCAGGTACGTGCCCTTGACTGGGAATTGAACCTGTGACCCTTCGGTGCGTGGGCCAACACTCTAACCACTTAGCATCATGGGCCAGAGCTAGTAAACTTTCTTAAGTAGCTTGAACTTGACATCACCATCTCTGCTTAATATTTTTACTACTATTATTAACTAGAGACCCAATGCATGAAATTCGTGCAAGAGTAGGCCTTCCTTCCCCCAGCTGCCAGCACCAGCTTCCCTCGCAGCCCCAGCTTCATCTGGAAAGTCATCCGGAAGGTCGTCTGGGAGGACATCCAGTCTAATTAGCATATTACGCTTTTATTATTATAGATGACTTTAGAGAGAGAGGAAGGGAGAGGGAGAGATAGAGAGAAACATTGATGTCAGAGCTCAACGTGGATCATGGATCGGCTGCCTCCTGCATGCCCCCTACCAGGGATTGTGCCCACAACCCAGGCATGTGCCCTGACTGGGAATCAAACCAGCAACCTTTCAGTGCAAGGGACAATGCCAACCAACTGAGCCACACTGGCCAGGGCATCACTGCTTCACCTTAAAGGACCTGAAAGAGATGGTGTTGTGAACTCGAATTCTCTAATTTTCTCTGGCTTCCCCAGGAAAGCTGTGAGTGAGAGCATAGCAGATTCAAGAGAGGAGAGTGAGGGAGAAGGTGCATTTTTTTTCTTCTTGTGCTGCTCATTATTATGAAAAGATGCAGCTGGTCTCTGGAATGAAGTGGGAAATGGAGAGTACTCAGATGAGAAATGGGATAGGGAAATATAACTAATTTCCCTGACATAATTTTATAGCTTGTTTTTACTTTTTAAGAAAGTGTTATAAATTCCTAGAACAATGAAAGAACCAAACTGAAGTATATGTAATATAGAAACACACTGTAAAGCTAAATAGAAACCAGGACTCAGTGGACTTACAGAGAAGCTATCTCCCTCACAGTAAAAGTTGCTTCCAATCCATTGGAGAGCAAATATGGAGCAAAGTAAAGACCAGGGGGGTGAAAAAGAAGGCAGGAGTGCAGGAGCAGGGCAGGGACCAGGACAATGCAGCCCAGCAGCTGAGGACCACATGCTCCCAGATCTCCTGAAGAGATGCTCTCCCAGGAGGGTGCTGAGGGGCGTGAGGTAAAGAAAATCTCTCTATCCAAGCATTGCAGTGGGTGTTCTATACATTAGGAGAGTGTTTGCTTCACCATAAAACACTCTAGAAGACCTGGAGAAGGAGGAAGATCACTTATTCACTTTTAAGTGTTAACTAATGTCTCCATTTGATTTTCTGGACTCCCGCCTCGCTGAGGTAGAGCTTAGGGACACTGTCACAAGGTGTGATGGAGATTCTTTAGGGGCTTTGGGCAACCAAGTGGAAAATGAGAGCATTGGGCCCCCAGAAGATGGAGGGAATATGCATTGGGTCAGGAGGAACCAGAGGGGTCAGAAAATGTGTTAAGGGAATAAAGGAAGGTGGTACGAACTGCCTCCTGCACACCCCCTATTGGGGATCAAGCCCATCCGGGCATGTGCCCTGACCGGGGATTGAACCATGTCCTCCTGGTTCATAGGTTGATGCTCCACCACTGAGCCACGCTGGCTGGCCCTAAATAGAATTCTTAAAAGAGGATAAGAGGGAGAACGTGGGTATAGCCTGTGGGCCTTGATTCATGCACTGCAAAGTCCAAGTGTCTGCAAGGCATTGAGATGGGCACACTGCTTGGTGGACATTACTCAGGGAACCTAATTGACAAAGGAATTTAAACCAATCAAACTTACATGAGACAGACGACTGCTTCAGATGTCAGTTTCTTCATTCATACGCAGTAAGAGGTGTATAGTTCTGACCAATGAGCTCCCCACAAGGTCTTCCTTCACATGGGAGATGTGTGTAATGCTGGCCCAAACCTGACAATATGTCCCTCTTCCAAGTGCCTTTGCCTCTGGTGTTCTGTGGTCTGCTGTCTCTTGCCCACAGTGCAGTCCTGCTCTCTGTGTTTTCTTTGCAACGCACTTGTTCTTATTTGATCACAGAATGCCCTTTCTACTAACCCACTCTAATAACTGTAGGTTTATTCTATCAGAGAGACAATATCTAGCTGAATTATGGCAACCATTGATCAAAAATAAGTTTGGGCCTTTATTGTTTTTTTGGAGTAACCTAAATTTTGGACATCCTGTGCTTTAGGAAAAAGTCAAAACTATATATTTATGAAGCCATAGTCTCCCGACTCCTTCCTGTTTTAATGACAATGAAGCGTTCCGGTGGGGTGATAGATTTGTCCCCGGGCCTTTGCAGGCCACAGTAAGGAGAGTGCTTTAAAGTCACGTGGCATAAAATGAAGTTAGTCTTATGTGCCCTAATCTACATTGTATGTCATGAATTCTCTTTACTAAAGAACACACATAGTTCATAACTAAGAAAAACTGAACAGGAGACTCAGCATGTTTTGTGGATCTGCATAAACTTTTTAATGTAATTTAAGGGGAAAGCATCAGTGCCAGAAATGATACCTCAAAGATAACAGAAGATTCAGAGTGCAATGGGTTACTAAAGTTCCTCAAAACCTCACTGGCAGGTTGTCTCATTAGAATGTGATCCCTGGGCAATATTACAAATAAATGCCATTGTCCACTAACCAAGGGGGGCATGATGGCCCATTTTGAAAATCCAGTTCCGAGTGACTCCCACACCAAAAACCATCTGTGAGACACAGAACCCCAGTTAAAGAAAAGCAGAGAGGTTTTTCGGTGCATCCCTCAGTAAGCTCGGCGGCACTCGTATGACCCCCACACCATGCTCCCGTCTTCTTTGGTCCATGAAGAAGGGTCCTGAAGGGTAGAGGCATCTGACCCCTCGTCTGGCGAGAGGGGCACTGCCTTGGGTGGTAGGTCGTTGGACACTGTGGTGAAGGGGGCGAAAGGATATGGGGGCGGGGTGGGGTACCCTGGTGTGTGGTACAGATCCTCCAGTGCATGCAACGAGTAAGACTGAGCCCCAGCCAGGGGAGGCCCCCAGCTGGGGCTCCGGTGCTGGGCAGTGCTCCCCGACTCCAGCTGGGAGAGGCAACTCGTGCTGGGTGGCAAGGTCTGCAGGGCGTCGGTGGGCACAGGGTCGAGCTGGCTGAGACCATCCGGCACTGTCTGCTCCCAGGAGTCTCTCTGAGGAGAATGGAAAGGTCGCCAGGGTTAGTCATTAGAGGAGGCTCATGTGGACAGACTTCCTCCCCAGCACGGGGTGCTGCTCAGAGAGGGCTTGGTGTCCTCCCTGTGGGAAGCCTCCTGACCCGCAGCTTTTCCCTCTGGGACTGACACAGCAGTGAAGTTTTAGTTTCCCTGTGTGTAGGAAGATTCCTTTCCCAGACCACATTAAATGAGTGAAATGTGCGAATAAGAAAATGGACATTTATACTGCAGTTTGACGTTTACAATGCACCATGTCTTGCATTCTTTTTGAGTCAGGGTCCTAGAAAGCCCTTTCCACAGTGGGAAGTCAGGCAGCGGCTCCTGGAAGGAGTGGGCCTCTCAACTACTAATGGGGTGTTTGAGTGGGCCGGGAAGGCCACCTGCCTTGCCCAGCAAAGAGGTGGGAATTGCATTGGCTCAGGATGGAAAGATAGTGAGTCCAATCATCTTCCATCCTGACACTTACTAAGTTCAATCTTTCCATCCTGTGACACTTACTAGGTTCAATCTTCCATCCTGACACTCACTAGGTTCAATCTTTCTATCCTGTGACACTTAGTAGGTTCAATCTTTCCACCCTGTGACACTTAGTAGGTTCAATCTTTCATTCCTGTGACACTTAGTAGGTTCAATCTTTCCATCCTGTGACACTTAGTAGGTTCAATCTTCCATCCTGTGACACTTAGTAGGTTCAATCTTTCCATCCTGTGACACTTAGTAGGTTCAATCTTTCATTCCTGTGACACTTAGTAGGTTCAATCTTTCCATTCTGCGACACTTACTAGGTCCAGTCTTTCCATCCTGACACTAGGTTCCTGACTGAGCACTCACTTTGTTTAATGTAATTTAAGGGGAAATGAGGCTTTAACAACTATATCCTGGGATGTTGCAAGGAGTAAATGAACAAAGGCACAGAAAAGTTCCTGGCTGGAGTAGGTACTTAGTCATGTCCCCCCAATCTTTATCTAAAATCCCATTTTTAGAGCGATTCATTCCTTTGGGGTTGAAGGCTGTTTTCTCTAAGGAGGGTGTTGGTGTTCAGATCTGTACGAACTCCCCTTTGGAAGGACTGAGAGAGAACAGGTTCTACAGGGTGGAAGAGTTGGGGAAAAGTGGGTCGGGGGTGGGAAGCACAGTGGGATCCGTGTGCTTGGACTGAGGTGTAACTGCAGGGTCTCCCCCCTTGCGCTGGAGGAATGATGGGAGAACACCAGGCCAAGCCAGCAGAGTATTAACAAAATGGATATAAAACCGATCTTGTTAGTCATCCCTGTTCAGGCCTCAGGGTAGACCCTCCTGCTGTCTTGGGTGGCCCGGATCTTTGAGGAAGGCCCCTTCGGAGAGTACCCTGGGGGGCGTCTGTCCTGGCATCTCTGGGGGCAGGTGCAGGGCAGCCTCAGGGGTCTCCAGGGCGACCATACCTGGCTGCAGTCCTGTTGCCAAGCCCTGATCTCAGTCACTCCCTAAGGTGAAAGAGCTGCATACTCACCAGCACGAAGTGTGTGGGGTCGCTGGGGAAGGGCGGTGGCAGGAGCGGCGGCAGGGGCGAGGCGCCGAACAGAGGGCCCGCGCTGGGGGTGAGGGCCGGCGGGCGGTGGTCCCCATAGGACTCCGGGAAGTAGGAATCTAGGAGGGCGGGGTGGCTCTGCCCGGCTGAGGACTCGCAGGGAAAGGGCCTGGCCACGCTGGAGGTGCACGCATCGTTTGCAAATTGCTTGGTGCTGTGGAAGTCCGAGTCGGACAGGAAAGATCTTCGGACGCCGTAGTACCCGGACATGACCGGTGAACCTGCTGCCAAATGAAAAGCACACAGGCACACGTTTCCTCTTGGGAGGATCAAGGCGACTCTGTGGCACATGCTCCAGCACACGCTCCCATCAAGGCCGCGTTTAGATACATACGCGTCTCGAACGTGTTAAGTGTGGCCCCATCACCTCTTTCATCTGGTCCAGCCCAAACAATGATATGTTTACCTAAAGTTCTCTCTGCCTGCCCCGGCTGAGTTCACTTTAGATGGTGCAATAGCTATTTAATGGTTCACTCACTCAGTGTACATGTGCTGTGCATCTTCTATGTGTCAGGCACTGAGCTAGGGAGGGACTGGCCCTAAAGAGATGAGAATAAGTTGGTGTTGCCATTTTATGGGATGAAGCATCTTTCCCACAGCTTCTGAGCTCTGTCCTCACACACACAGGGCCACTCACAAGAGCCTGCTTCTGGCATTTTATCTGAGCTTCAGTGTCTCTAGATAAGGTGATACTCTGACCCCATCCCAATCCCAAGACAGGTTGTATTCTTCCTCTAATCCTTTGTCTATATATACATTTATTGATTTCAGAGAGGAAGAGAGAGAGACATCAACGATGAGAGAGAATCATTGATCAGCTGCCTCCTGCATGCCCCCTACTAGGGATGGAGCCCGCAACCATAGCATATGCCCTTGACTGGAATTGAACCAGGGACCCTTCAGTCCGCAGGTGGGCGCACTATCCATTGAGCCAAATCAGCTAGGGCTACTGACTGACTTTTAACACCCACCTGGCTTGCTTTGGAATGATACGGCTTTTATGCAGTCAAGTTAGGGGAAGAACCACAAAAAATTGTCAGACTTCGGGGACACGCGTGTTATTTGCTGCCCTCTTGTGGCCAAAGCGTGGGCACTGCACACTTGGAAAGAGAATGCCTGGCACAGAGTTTCCATGGGGAAAACGGGAAGAAGATGAAACTAAGAGTCATAAATGTAAGGCTAAGGCGAGTACAATGGACCCAGAAGGAAAAAAGAGGTGTTTGCTAAGGGCTTTCTGACGCTGTCGCTCAGTTGTAGCAGGAAACATGATCACTGAGAACATGTTCAGGGCATGGACTCAGCCAGTGAACCTGTCCTGCTCATGGTGGGTGCGCTCTCATTAGACAAGGCCGACACCTGCAGGCTGAAGTGGGAGGAAGATGCAGATGCTTGACTTTCCTACCTCCCCCCAACCACAGTGACCACTTCTGAGCTTTGCCCCTGCCCACCCTCCCCACTCGTCTGTAGGGAGAGAAGTCAGACTGTCCTTTGTATCATGACTCAGTCATAGGTCACTCCACACACAGCACTTAGGCCTTGTCACATGATGTGGCACTTCATTTATGCTCACTACTCTCTCACCTGAGTTACAACTTCTTTCCTATGTACACAAATAAAAACAAGCACAAAGAAAGACCCTCTGATCTGTTAAGCATATTTTTTTTTCTCCTTAAGAAGAGGAAGAATAATTTTAGGTGGTAAGAGAAGCTATCTAAGTTTTTCTTATATAAAAAGGAGCAGAATTCAGTAACAATAAAATGTGAATGGGGAAACACAATAGAGACATTCAGACATGTGAAGGTTCCTAAAATTATTAACACTACGGCATTTCTGAGTTTGGGATCTGGAAAGAATGTGTGTGTGCATATATGAGAGTGCCCACTACTGTTACCAAGAATGCCCCTCTTGGGTCCCCACAGGGGCATTTAATGAGACATATGTATTTAAATGAACGCAAGACACTTAACTCAGTGCCTGACATATAGAGAGAACTCAATATGTGCTCGTTTCCCATCTGCCCACAGGTCTCCCTCCTTGTGTGCTAAAGCAGGTGCATAATCCATCAGATCATGATGCCAGAATTTTAGACCTTTTAAAATTGTAGCAAGAGCCTAAATGCCATTGCTTTTGCTCAATAAGCTTCTGCTAGGCAGGTGATCAAAAGGCTGCCTGCAAGACAGCGTGGATTCTAAATTCAGGAATGACTGAATTAGGTCTCTCTTCACTGATTTTATATTTTATAAACAACTGTTTTAAGGAAGCAACGTTTAAAACGTGCCGTTGGACAGCTATAAAAGAACCAGAGCCCAGGTGTCCCATTGAAACTCAAAAGGGAATGGATGCACTGCTCGCTGAGCTCAAGTACTCACCTGGCACCTGGACAAATGGAGACGGAGAGGAACCGACGCTGCCCTGGAAGGCAAAGACAGCGAGTGTTTTCTTCTTTAGAAGCACATTTGGATTTAAAGAAAAAAGATCAGGAATACATTTTACAAACCTTGTTTTCTGATGCTAAGGAGCACTGTTTAGGGGGGTTAGATTGGTGGGAGTCAACTGAGACTAAGCATGTAAGCACTGGAGAACAAAGTTTTACAGGGAACAAAGAGAAACCAAAGTTTTAGACTCTGGTAATCATGCCAAAAAGCACTGGCTAGATGAAATGGAATAATCTACCCTTTGCTTTTTACTGTTTGCATTAATATTCTTCATCAAATCTATATCAAGTATAGTGTCTATCTATCTATCTATCTATCTATCTATCTATCTATCTATCTATCTATCATCTATCTATCTATCTATCATCTATCTCTACCTACCTGCATGGCATTTGGCTTCAACATTGAATTGCCACAATTTTAATATCTGCCTTTATGTAGAATCAAGTGCCACTGAGGGTGGGGACCCTGACTGTGACTTGTCTTCAGTGCCCAGCTCAGAGTGTGGTTCATAGTCAACACAATAAAAATATGTGGCATAAATATACAGTCCTCTAAACCACAGGTAGTGAGCTTGGGAAGTTGGGGGATGTTGCCAGTTGAATTATATCCCCCAAAAGATATACTGAAGTCCTAACACTCAGTACCTGTGAACATGACCTGATTTGGAAATAGAAACTTTGAAGATGTAGTAGTTAAAGTAAGATGAAATCATACTGCATTAGGGTGGGCCCTAGATCCAACATGACTGGTGTCCTTTTAAGACAGCGGTTCTCAACCTGTGGGTCGTGACCCCTTTGGCGGTCGAATGACCCTTTCACAGGGGTCTCCTAAGACCATCCTGCATATCAGATATTTACATGACGATTCATAACAGTAGCAACATTACAGTTATGAAGTAGCAACGAAAATAATTTTATGGTTGGGTCACAACATGAGGAACTGTATTTAAAGGGCCAGAAGGTTGAGAACCACTGTTTTAAGAAGAGGCGAGAGACACAGGCACAGAAGGGAGAAGCCACCTGAAGACAGAGGCAGACATTTGAGTGATACACCCTCAAGCTAAGGAACACAAGGATTGCCAGCAACCACCAGAACCAGGAAGCGGCAAGGAGGGAGGCTCCCCTAGAGCCTTCAGGGGAAGTGGGCCCTGCGGACACCTCCATTTTGGACTTCCAGTCTCCAGGGCTGTGACTAGATAAATTTCTGTTGTTTTAAGCCACCGCATTTGTGGCTTTGTTATTTGAGCCCTAGGAAACCAATGCAAGGACTGATGGACGATTAAATAGATGCTTCGCTACAGTGTGAGAGGTGGCATGGTCTGGCGAAGATGTGGGAGGAAGGCACTTAAGCTGGAGTTAGGGATGGGTGAGGAACACATCCTGGAGGAAGTGGTGCCTAAGCTAGCCTCTGAAGGGAAGTGTTTCCAGGTGTATAGAGTCTTAAAATATACAGATGCAAATCTGGCTTAAAGATGCTCAGGGACAAAGTGAAGTGGAAAATGTAGCTGTTTAGTAAAAGTTGAATCCTCAGTATCCAGTTCTATGGATCCGAGCTCCTGGCCCTGACCCTCACAGTCCTGTAGACTCTCAAGTGTGGAAGAGATTTTTATAGACAGTCTCATCCAACCACTCACTCAGTGCGAAATCCTCTCCATGCTAACACTGCATGCAGTTAGCTTCTGGTGATAAAGAAATCTGCTGGGGGTGGGGGGTTGAGGGAGGGAGTGATTAATGGGGAATTTATATGTATATATGCATAACCCATGGACACAGACAATAGTGTGGTGAAGACCTGGGAGGAGTGGGTGTGGGGGGGGTGGTGGAGGAGGGGGTGTCTTTGAGGGGGAAGGGTACATCCAGTTTGATGGATGTAAGTATTGTCTCCTCAGCATCTGTCAGCCATTCTTTCACCAGCTGCCATGGCTCTGCCTCTAGACTCTATGGAAAGCATGGATAGAGCTCAGTCCATGCTGCCATGGCCCTTCAGATTTTGACTTCTCTGTTGTAAAAGCTTTCCTAGCTTTCCCTCCACCACCAATCCTCAGGATCTTCTTACACCCCTTCTTCTTCTTCAGCCCAGGTTTAATTCTTACTGTGGAATTCCCAGCACCATATTCTCTCCAACCGAATTTTAATACCTGAGGACTCTACAAAGGTTTTACAATCTGAGTGTAGTTTATGTTATTTATTATATGATGAAAATAAGCCTCTTGTGTTCATTTTTCCTGCGTAATTTTGCCCCTCCCTGATGTGGAAATTAAACTCTCTATCTCAATTCTTTATGGTTACCCATAAAATGTTACCTTGTATATTTATCAAAGACTACAAAGAATATCTTAAACCTCTCACCGACAGACAAGATCCTTAGAACATTAACTCTTACTACTGCTCTCTTAATTTATATATGTACATTTTCTTTCATTTTAGCTAGTTTTTGTTGTTGTTTTGTCGCTTTTTAAAAAATATTTTTATTGATTACAGAGAGGAAAGGAGAGAGAGAGGGAGAGAGAGAGAGAAACATCAATGATGAGAGAGAATCATTGATCAGCTGCCTCCTGCATGCCCCACACTGGGAATTGAGCCCCCAACCCGGGCATGTGCCCTGACTGAGAATCGAACCATGACCTCTCCCAGTTCATAGGTCAACGCTCAACCACTGAGCCATGCCAGCTGGGCTTAGCTAGTTTGTTTTTATTAAACTTATACAAATTAGGCATTGTAATTACATCATTTTATCTGCTTGCTCTTCTTCCAGACTTTCCCCCTAGATTCATTTTTCCTTCTTCTAAACTAAAACTTTAGAACATTCTTTTTGTGAAGATGGTGTTGGTGATAAACTGTTTCAGTTTTATTT